TTTTCTTTACCTTTATATACTTTTTTGGTAAAGAGAAAAAACCCTGGAATTTATTACTAGAAAAATGGGACTATAAAAGTATTTATGCCCTCTTGCTCACCCAACTCCCAGCTTTATTGGCTTTAAATATTTTGTCCACAGTACCTCAGTCCTCTAAGCTGTTTGGCTGTGTGTGTGATGCTATATTCCTGTCCCTTCTGTTGACAAGGACGTGGCTTTGTGTCCCCTGATACTTGTGTGCGAGGCTGGGCTCTCTGCAAGCAGAGGACAGTCACTGCCTTTGTGATCCCTGCATCCTACACACACTGGGTTGCAACACCGGTTGTCAGATGGCAATATGTTTGCTGTGCTTGAAACTGTTTAAATCCATGGCAATCATTTAAACACTGTCAGTTACCCCAAGACGCAACAGTATGGGTATGCATGCTTTGAGCAGTAAAAATAGTGGGAAATCACGTTAAGAAAGGAAAGCAAGAAGGCAGAGTAGACAGGCAGGCCCATTCACATTTAAATGCAAGGCCAAGGATTGTGGGTTGTTCTCTGACGAATCCTCCATTTTCTGCTAGTGTGTGGCTTTCACCGTTGTAAGTGGTGGTTCATAGGTCTTCTTTGCTTTCCAGCTCTCTAATTGGCAACTAAATCCTATTTCTGAGCAGCAAAATAGATGTTACAGACAGGTATCTTTCTTTGGGTTGCTTGGGCAGCTTGCAAATGCCTTTTCATAAGAGGAAGGAAAGAATGAAAGTTCTTATGCTGAAGAGGAGCTGCCTTCTCAGAACTTGGCCCAGCATTGACCATGGCTGTTAACCGCCGAGGCTGGCTGCTTTTCCCTGGAGGGAAGGCCTGAGACAGCCCTGAAAAATCCACAGGACTGGGGAGAGGCTCTGAAGGGAACCAGAACTAGCCCTCAGTGAGGCTTGCTATTGTCCAGATGCTGACTATATAGTACATTGGTATACTTATTTTCTTTGAAATAGATCCTCTCACTATATTTCAAATTGTTTTACAACTCTGTATAAAATATAACATCTTTACTGGGCGATGGTAGAATGTAAACAGTAGGAACACAAATATTAATACTACCCTCACAATGCATGCCTTACAAAAGGTATTTGCTAAGTTTTGTTATATATAAAAATATATTTAGCTACCAACTTTACTGTCACTGTGAAAAATTGCACAAACCAATATATGTAAGTGAATAATTTTACATATAGTTAGTGTCTTTTTTGATTAAGAAAGTCTTTTAAAGAACATATTAATTATGCATCTTATGTATCCTATGTGGCTAAAGCAGCTCTGTGAATAGAGACCTGCCAGTTGTTTTGTTAAAATAACAGAGTGCAGCTGTGATTAAAAAAAAAAAATGGATGCAGCATATCTGGAAGAGCTATTTTTATTTTTAAAATGGGGGAGGGATCTGAGTTAATGTTTTATTATGCAAACATAAGAGTTTTGGGGAAGAGCGTTAGGCCAGGCAAATGTGCGGGACAATGGGGTGAGGGTTGTGTATTTACTAAAATGTTTTCCAACTAGGACTTTCCAAGTTAGTGGCAGATATGTGTGGGAAAGTCACCCTGGAAACCAGACAGAGGAGGATGCACACCAAAAGAGAGGTTCGTTTGTTTTGTTTTGTTTTGTTTTGCATTATAGTTGTAATGAGAGCAATCATTGTTTCCGAAAGTAAACTTCTCAGGTTTGTAAAACTCCAAGCGACAGCCCCCCACAAAAGATAAAAATGTACATTTGGAGGAAATAGTTTTACAATCAAACTAGAGATTGTTTTTGCCTCTCAGAAACAAAATGGAACGTTATCTCTCCAAGAATACACTCTTTGGAAATATTTTCCTGAAGCGCGTTGACTTTTCAGTGTGTCGGTGGACAAGTCCCAGCTGTGTGCACCGCTTTGTGGGCTCCTCCAGGCCGCCGGTGGTGGCTTTGAATGGGGCAGCTCCACGAAATCTGCATGAAAATTGGGAATTGTCAAAGTAATTTGCCACTTACTGACTCACTCTCTATGCCTTTTGTGTTTTGATCAATAAAAACTTAAATCCTTTACCCAGTTTAGTAACAACCTATTCTAAAGCATTATATTCCCCCTAATCTTTTCGAGTTCTGGTTGTACAGTTATCCATTTTCAATGATATTCATTTTAAAAGGTTAACAAACGAGAAACTAAACCAACCATACAAATAACAGCCCAAAGAACACTTTCCAAAATGTGTTGCTGTAGTGCCATTTCGAATTTAATATTCATGCAGAGGAAAGCTAAAGGCCACCAAACCAGGTGGATAAAATAGTACTGCATTTTATGACTCATTCTTAAATGAAATCTCTTAAATATTGCTAATGAAGCCGGCTCCCCACCGCCCCCAGCCTTGGCGGGCGCCCTTTCGAGCTGCTTCGGTTCCATTTCCCTGTCTAGCAATTTGCCCCAGGCCCCCATTAAATGAATTATCACGGCCCCTAAATCATCTCTGCGGGGGTTTCCTCTAATCCCATCAAGACACTTACACTCCCTTTCTTCCCTCCTGGTGACATAATGAATTATTATTTCACGGGGAGCAGTTAAAGAGGCCCCTTTGGAAGAGCGGAATGTGCGCGGCCCGGGAAGCCGGAGGGCCCTTGCGCCGCCTCGGGCTGCTGTCCCGCGGCCTGGCGGGGACAAAGAAGCCACCCGGCCACCAAGTGCCCTCCTGGCCGCCCGAGGTGGGGTCTCCGCCACCCGCTCCGAGCCCTCCCTCCGCGCTCGGGCCTGGGCGGCTGCTGTGGGAGCCCAGGAACGCAGGGCAAAGGGAGAGAATATAAATGTTTTCCTTAACTGGAGGAAACACTGCACTCACAAACCACTTGCGGAATAGATTAAGCTAATTTATTAAACACAGTTTGCCTGGTGACTGAGCTGAGCGGAGTAATGATTTACAATTAAAAAAAAATTTAATAAGAGAAAGTCAGGGGCCACCGTGGCCCTCACCGCGGGCCATGGCGGCCCGAGAGGGCTGGGAGGGCGTCCCGCGCCCGGGTTTGGGACCAAGGGCGGCCTCGGGACTGCGGCCCTGGTGGAGCGTCTGTGGGCAGAGCCCGGTCCGCTGCCGGAGGAGACATCAACGGGAAGACAGCTGGGCCTGGCTGGGGGCCTACTTCCCTGGGATTCAGACGGGATGACCCTCTTTCTCCAGAGGAGGAACGGTTGGTTTGCTTTTGGTTTTGGGGTTTTTTTCTTTTACTTGTTGCTTCTGAAGTGCTCAGACCACTCTCCATGTACCAGTGATGGATCTTCTTTTGAGACTGCGGTAACATAAAACAGTTTCCAGGAGATTTTGAAAACTTCAGAGGATGGTCTGTCTTGAGCAGGGATTCTCAACAGTGTTCAGTGCCAGCGACTCTCTTTTCATAATAAACACTTTGTAATATCTCCTTTATTATTATGGCTGCCTAACACATGGGACAGGCTCATGTGCTTTTATTATTCTAAATGAAAATCTTGCATAATATATCCTACCCAAACACATCATTTAAAAAATGAGAGAAAAAGAAAAGATAGAAGGAAGAAAGGCAAAACATTATGACCTAATTGTAAAGGAAAAAGTCAATAAGGTAAAATAAAATATAATAAAACATATATTTCAATGGGTACATTCTCCATCATGGCTACTAAAGAATGAAGTAATCAAATGCTTGCACCACTTTACAACAAAGAAATTTTGATTTAATGGAAAACTATTCAACTGATTGTTGTTGACTCTTTTTCTTTATAATCGACATAATCGATGTTTTGAAATAAGAGCTAAATAAGTATATTTACTCATATATGTAGAACCATTCAAATGTGACAGATATGTTTTCAAACTGTCAGAGTTGTTGGGGAACTCAAAACCCAGGAGCTACATTTTCCCAAATGGTGAGCAATTCGTGGCTGAAGTTCTAGACAAAGCAGTGCACATAGTGGTTGTATTCCTGGAAAATTCACTGTACATTAAAACTATGTAAATGTACTTTGTGTTCACATGGAAAATGGAGCTAGAGATAATTACCAAGGGCTTTTTCACCTACATGAATATCTACTGGAACATTTGGAAATGTTCTGAGGGACCTGGAACAATTCTTTGACACCGATGCACTGCCTCCTTGGGGCTGGTACTACCGCCTTTGAAACTCACTTGTCTAGAGCCTGGGTTCTTCAATTCCTTCAATTATTATTTCATGGTGAGCAGAACATTTTACATATGACATTAGAGGGTTTGCAGGCCTCTTGGAACCCATTCACAGACCCGGTATCCAATCCTTATATCCTGAGTTATGAATCCTTAGACTAAAGCTAGAATTGACAGCTTAGAATCAAAGAGTTGGAAAGAACTTTGCCTGGAGGCTCCCAGAGAGTTTTTAATCTGCAGCTTATCAAAGTTCTGAATACTATATTCGAGTTTTGGGTTTATTTGGGTACTGCAGGGGATTAGTTGCTTTCCTTGTTCTGGGAGTGAAACCTAAAATGACCTTAGCCTTTAAGGCAGCTCTAACACTGTTTACTTCCGCTCAACTTGTGGTCAATAAAAACCCTAAACCTATTCTGCTTGTTCTTGTTAAGATGTGTGACCTCTGTACTTAGGCAGTTAATTTTTTGTATCTAAATGTAGGGCTTTTACACTAACACCTGTCAAATGCCTTCTGGTTGAAGCTGATTCTTTATTCCAGCCTTGCCTAGATGTTTCTGTGTACCAATTTTATCTTTGAATTCATAAGCTTTGCCTTCTAGTTCTGTGTTATCCACATGTCAAAATATTAGAATTAATTATTATGAAAAAAACTGTGACGCCTCTTTTGTCAATGCATCATCAGTAATAACGCCGTAGGAATGTGTTACCTTTTCCAGTGTGTGCAAGAACAGCCCCGTTATTTAAGTGTGTGTATGGGAATGTATTTAGAGCTGAGGAATAAGGCAGGGAACCTTAAAATGTTGTGTGTTTTCACTTGTTTTCTTTTTTGTTGTTAGAAAAGTTTGACTTTTATTTTACAAGTCTTTCAGAAGATTGGTGTTCCCCATTCAACTCAATGCTGAGATTTCGTTAATTCTGAAAATGTGTTGTACCAAATTAAAATAATTTTTCAAAGACAGACCTTTCCCACAACTCTACCATTCTAACAAAATTGTTTTCATTTTTTCATGTCCCCTTCCACGGCTTCCAGTTTTTATCTAGACTTTTCCATATTGCATGCCCTATTTTCTACATTTTCTTCTAGTTCACTGTTAGAAATGGATGTTAGCCTGGATTTACTCTTAGGCAAATCAAAGTAAACCAAAACAGGCAACAGATGGTCTTCAACACAGCTTTGCCTAAGAGGGCTTTCAAGCTAGAAATTTTTGTAGGCCTTTAAAAAAATTATCACTATGAGAGTGAGGTAGAATTGTCATATTCATTTAGCAGCTCACTTTGTAACAATCATCAGACATTTATATAAGTCAGAAGCGTAAGGGACAACAGGTTCTTGAACTGCTGATTTAGAAAGTCCTTAAGTTGTGATTTGGAGCACTTTGGTTTGGGGTCCCCAGTCTGAAGTCAGGGCAGGGTAAGGGGGTGGGAGAAGGTTGTAGAGAGGGCATCTTCATTCATCTTTGGTTTTGGAGGGTGTGGGGCCCAGTGTGCTGGGATGGTTGGGGAAATCACCTCCTCATTTGAAGTTTTTCACATCTGTTCCTCTCCAGGTGGAGTGGCTACAGCCTGGAGATGCTTGTCCACAGCCTGAGGAAGCCTAAGGTAAAGTTCAATTTACAACCTGCCTTTCTGTCCTCTTGTGCTGAGTATTGTATAGAACATCTTCACTGCAAACAATCCTTATCATTTAGAAAATGGATAATAATGGCAGCTATCATTTATTGGGCATCTAGTATATGCCAGGCAGTGTACACTTACATTATTATGCTTTACAACAGTCTTATGAGATAGGAATCATTATGTCATTTTCACAGTCCAAGGTCATTTCACTACATAACATTCTGTGTCTGTTTAAGAATGAATAAATTTGAGCAATATAAAATGACATTGCAAGATCCCAAGTTTTTTCTTGCATTTAAGAAGAGAAGGTGAGTGGAGAAACCTGGGGCTGTTCCAAAGCAGGAAGGATCGTGTGACTGCTCCCCCAGACTTCTCCCTGGATAAAGCACAGGATGTTCTTGGAGCAAGCAAAGGGCAGAGACTTGGAAACTTAGCAACAGGGAATTATCCTAAAACAATGAAGCCTAAGAGACAGGGCTGGCATATTTTCAGGATGTAAAATGTCAGACTCTGAATATTTAAGTTGTAGCACAGAATCTGTCACCAAACCACTGGGAGACTGCAAATCAGTTACTGAAGTAAATCCCTCCAGCCTTAGGCTGCATCGATGTTTGATGAATAAATACATGATGATTCTTCAGAGTTGCTAAGAATTCCTTATAAGAGAGGAACAAGGAAAACCTGGCCTTGTTTAGCATATACAATGCTTTTCGGTCTTTGAATGGAAACAGTCAAGTCATAAAATGTAATTCTGTTTTTTCTCTCCATTTAAGTTTTTGACAAAGAGTTATTCTCGTCAAGTTCAAAAATCATTCTGGGTAATGTCAAGTAGGATATAGGGCAGCCCTGTTCTACAGTTGAATAAATGGTAAGTTTTTAAATGTACTCTGCTTCTGAAAAAAAAATTGGCTACGGTCTTTTTGAGGGTGGCCTTACCCATAATCTGAGTCTCTGCCTCAGACAGCTCTAATCCCAGGAACACATGACTAACATAGGCCAAGTTGTTGCTGTGTCCCCTGGAAACACCAAGGGTCTTCCTGAAAATCAATCCCAGACTTTATAGCATTATCAGATCTTCTCAGTTCTGGATGGCAGGAACTGCCGTCTTTGTTCTGGCATACAGTGACATCAGAGCTCCAGGACAAATAGGGCCCTGATTCATCTGATCCTCAGAAACCCTATTCAAGGGTATCTGAGGATCCAAAATGTTTTCTTCTAGCAAGCTAGATCAGTATGCTTAGTCTTGCCATCCGTGCAAAAAAAAAAAAAAAAAAAAAAAAACTGTGGGTCGGGTCACAAAACCCAGGACATTTCAATGTCCTGATGATTTATTACCAGGGCAAATAGAAATATCGCAGACCACAATATCATTTATCATGTAATTACATATCTTTCTGGAAGATAACATACACGACCACAGAAGCGATTTAGAGCTATCCTGCCTTTTACTCTGGGCCTCAGTTTCCTTGCTTGCAGTGGGAGAGGTTTGGGCAGGATGGTCTCTGGATCTCGCAGGGCTCTTCAGCCCTAACCTTCAAGAGTCTGTAGACACACAGGCAGGTGAAGTTCTTACATGGAAGTGGCCTTCTTGGGCTATGGTTTCATTGGTACCATCTCCTGTCTGTGTTACACACTACTCAACCTCCCCAAGCCTCAGTGTCCTCACTGGTAAAAATGGAAATGAGGACAGTACCAACTTCGTAGGATTATTGCTCTGATTATTAAGGCAATGCAGGTAGACCTCAGAGAAGGAAATCTCAGAAAGCACTCAACTTATACGAGCTATTATGATGACTAGTAGGATAT